AATTCTGGGAGTTGAAGTCCACTCATCTTAAAGTGGCCAAGTTTGGACAACACTGGGCTAAGGAAAGGTCAGTACTGTTTTTTTTAGGGAGAGCAGATATCCAAAAATCTTTGTTTCTCTGTTCTGCTTTATTTCTGGCTGCTGTATGCTCCAATCAGCATACAGAGGCAGGGATCTAACACTGACCCAGTCTTGGATTCACCTTCAAAGAAAACCACCCTGCTGTGGTCCCTCTTAGCACATGCTGAGGAGAAAGGAGAAGCTACTTTGCAAACAAGACAGCCACAAGTGTGATTAAAAGTTTTGATCCCAAAGAAGAGATTGACTTGGGTAAATATCTCAGCAAATACAAACTAAACTAAAGTAAAAACCTTAATCAGGCATGAATCAGCTGTAGTTAGAGATGGAACACAAAAGAAATTCAGGCAGATATCCCTCGCAATAGTTTAAAAGCCAAAAATCTGTACTGTTCTTCTAGACATTATTTTACAATATTAGAAAACCACAGAAATCAGAAACTTGCTTGATGGCTGAAATAATGCATTTCCTCACAGACAATCCTGGATGACCAAAAAGGCATCTCAAGGTTAGCAAATATAAACCTAATTCGGCATAGAAAAGTGCCTCTTTTTAATGCATCTGAAGGAATCAGTGAGAGCTGTTGAATGTAGAGTAAGCCAAATAACATGTACACAGCAGCATCAATTGTGTCATACTCAATATAACCTTTTCCAACAAGCACTAGTGCTTCTATAGGGCTACTTGTACGGTTTTAAATTCCATTATTTCCCATGTGAAATATCTTGAGAAGTATTCTAGGCCTAATTATTCAGATGTACACATTAGATACAGACTTAGTAATGGAACAGGATCTCAAGTGAACATATGATCCTACTAGCCAGAAGGGATCTTCCCAACAATCAGTAAACGCTACTTGTGAAGTATTAGAAGCTCAATACAATTTCAGTGTAAGTCAAACCACAGAGAATACAGCCATTAATTTTATTTCAGATATTCAAATAATGTACTGGGGCTTATAATAATATATATTCTTTTTAAAATATTGTTAGTCTTCCATTGTGCCAACATTTCTGATTTGAAAGCAGCCAACCTTTTCTCATTACATCAGTCAAGATAACCACAAACAAAGCTTAAGTGTACTTAAAGAGCAACAATATTCCTACCTTCTTGACAAAATCAAAAGGGGATGAACTATGTACATTGTCATATATGAACAACTGGGAAGTGGTGCGGGAAGGATAGAATAAAACCTAATTAACAGAAATATACGTTTAGTATTGGATTGTGAGCCCTGTGTGTAAAACATTAAGTAATTCAAGAACTTGGCAAGCAGATAACATGTATGGAGCACCATCATATTTCTTTTATCATAATTAAGCATTTATCATTTATTATTAAGCATTTATCTTTTGAATGGTTCTTGGCTGTCCAGACCCTAGTTTTGAGACAGGAAGTCACATAGGCCTTAGGCCAAATCAGACAATTCATTTCTCTGCTGGTTTCTAACAAATCATCTTAGATCAATGAATTCAGGCCAACACATCTGAGTGAACTCTGGCCCCATCTTTCTACCCTTTCAACCAGACAAAGACTGTTTAAGGGAGGGAAGAAAGGCCTGTCAATTTGTTGTCAGGCAGATCAAATCAACATCTTAAACCAAGCAAGAGGATCTGTAAATAAATAGATAAACAAACAAACAAACAATTTTTCTTTATTCAAGCCGAAGAAATGGTTTTCTTGAAGAGGGGCTGCTACTGTAAGCCACTCGGAGTCACTGTGAGTGAGTTGGGCAGCCATATAAATTGCTTTAATAAATAAAAATAAATACTAGGATGTAAATAGTGCTATGGAATTGTTTTTAGCAGTAGATATGTGAGTTAAAAATTACCACACATACATATGTCTATTTCAAAGACAGAACAAACCCTGCTTATGTTCAGAAACATTCACAAAGTTGCATGTGCATTAATCATTTGGCCATATTTTCTGAAATATGACCAAATGATTAATCTAAATTAGTAGTTTGGCCACAAGCCAATAAGGGCACCTTCTCCCACACCCTCCTGAGCAAGAAATCTTTAAAATGTCTGTATGACTTAAAACGCAAAGTATTAGAATACATAAATATAGGGAATCATTGCTTTTTGCACAATGCTGGTGCTGTGACTTGTTCAAGAAATGCTCATGAACAAATAACTCCACACCACAATTTACATGAAATGGGGGAAAGGACAGTTCGTAATATGCTGCTCAAGGCATTGTTCAACATAATGAAATACCAAAAAAACAAAACAAAACAAAAAAAACTAGCATTCATTCAAGCAGCAGGAAAAGAACTGAAAACCTCACCACGACATTTCCCACTCATCATGTGAACAGAAATATAATTGTCTGTGTATTTCAAAGCCAAAACCATGTACAGGATTTTGATTCTCCTGCTAAAGAAAAGTCTCTGGTCTTTGTCATCTCATCTCAACTTACTTCGCAAAGATGACTCAATGTTGCTTTGGAAGTAGAAAGAACAGGTTACAAATTGTCTGAACTTCCCAGTGACTCTGTGGAAATAACTAGAATTGCATCTGGCATCTGGGAAAAAGGCTTAACCTCTTATCCTAGGAGATCTAAACCGAATCACATTCCATATCTTTGACCTCCACCTGAGAGAACTCCCCTTTTGTGTTGTAAATGTTTGATTGAGAGTGTTCTCCTTTGAGAGTTCCTGCTCAGCAATAAAAGCTACAAAACTATTCTGATGCTTCAAGATTTTGGTGGCCCTTTTGAAGCAGGGCTAAGGAATCTGGGGGCCATTCAGTTAAGGGTTTTCTCAGTTAAGGTTTTCACTGTCCTAGCCAACATGATTAACGGTTGGAGATACTAGAGTCTGTAGTTCAGCAACTTCAGGTGGAACACAACATAATGTGTGTTTTAAAGGAAGTGACAGAGATCAAATGCTGAGGACCTGGAAGTGGATGGGACAGAATCTGGCTCAGTGCTGATAGTTACTTGTGCTATTGTAGCTTCCTCTGTATCTGCAGTTTTCCTTTCTTTTCTTTTGTTGTTGTCAAGGGAGATCCTTAGATATCTGTCAAAATTTGTTCTTCATCTCTTCCACTTCCCCATAAAGACAGTAATCACTGGGCCACTGCCCTAAATGAATCAGTGTGGAATTAGGTTGTTAACAGCAGAACAAGCTGCTATTTTCTAAAGATAGAGCCAAATTCTTCTTCCTAAAGGTTAGACCCTTCTCCCTATGACTGAATCTTTTCTGAGGCTTCAAAGTAGTCACAGGCATCTACAAAGGTCTCCTCCATATTGGATCATGCTTGCAGTTATATTTTATTTAACTCTTTTCCCTCCTTCTCTCCATCCTGAGGGACAATTGATAAATGCAGCATCTAACTCAGGGTTTCTCAATCTTAGCAAATTTAAGACGTGTGGACTTCAACTCCCAGAATTCCCCAGTCAGCACTGGCTGGGAAATCCTGGGAGTTGAAGTCCACATGCCTTAATCTAAGGCTTTCTTCTGTACCTAATGCTCACAATTTGAATGAAAAGAGAATCAGGGTGATAAAATAAAGTATTTCTTTATACATTACTTAGTTTAACTTCAGTGGATGTAATGACCACCTCCAATTCAAATTATTTGGAAGTAAATTGGAGAAAAGATTAATAGCTATTGGACAGTAATTGGAGGGTATTAGAAGGTAGGTTTCTTCAGATACCTTCCTGACCAATGTGAAGAAAAGGGTGCTGCACCAGATACATCTTTTTTGTCTAATCCAAGGGATTCTTCTAACACTGTCATGTTGTTTGAGTAATAACATGGACTATATATGCCTTGACAACTTTTACTCTAATTCAATTTATTTTTAGACTGCTCTGTATCATACCTTTAATTCCTCCAATTTGGTTTGTATCCACTCCCTCAAGCTTGGACCTCTCAAATTGCTTGGAATATAATCATACAATTTATGTGGCTCCTCACTTGGACCTTATTAGAGGTATCTTTAGGGTTTAACAGCTATTAACAACAAAGAACATATAATAAGCTCCTGTACCCTGTATTCAAAGGCAAGGATCACCATCCAGTGTTCCAAAGATTCAAATCACTTTTGAATCAGAGTCACTTTTATGTGAGACGGGCAACTATATAAATTAGATAGATAGATAGATAGATAGATAGATAGATAGATAGATAGATAGAATTTATATATGTATGCAATTGTCTGTGCATGTGTTTATTTCTTTGCACTAATACAATCCTGAGAGGATAGATATGAAAGAGACAGGAAGCCCACAAAGACCAGAGGAGTATCTAAAAAACAGACAGAAGCAAAAACAAAATGC